GAGGTCGCGACCTCACCGGCTGCTTCTCTCTCTGCGCAGCCGTCAACAGGACGCTGGAGGTACGGCGTCGCCACCACAACCACGCGCGCACGAGGTCCCCTGTAATGTAGATTATCAACAGTCAAACTTGTGTCAGCGGTCACTCCTGTAGAAATCTCCACCTGTTTATAAAGGACACGTTTCCCTCGCATGACCTCTATATACTGGATATGCTATATATGCTATATACTATATATATTATATATATATATATATATATATATATATGCGTGTATATCTAAGTTCAACGCTGCAGTGTCTTCCCCCAGGCTGGCGTTCCCCTGACGGACCCTGCGTACTACTCCACCCTGACGCTGGAGAAGCTGAGAGAGCATCTAAGAGGAGAAGATGGAGGAGAGATGCCGATGATGCAGGAACGACTCGCCAACATCCGTGAAGCTGGCAGCGTGCTGGTCGAGGTGAATAGTAGTAGAGAGGGGGAGGGGAGAGGGATAACAGAGAGAGAGAGAGAGAGGGAGAGCAGAGAGAGAGAGAGAGGGGGAGGGGGAGAGGGAGAGCAGAGAGAGAGAGAGAGAGAGAGCTGCAGGAGAATAGCATGGGATATATGCGAATGTGAAAACATTCAGTTTTACATGGATATAGCAGTGAATGCAGTGGCTATATAGGAGAATATGGGAGAGAAGCAAGGAATATAAAGCAATAGTGGGAAATGTGAGGGAATAATGCAGAAAAACAGAGGGAATATGAAGCAGTACAGAAAAAACTGACTATTGGAATAGCGTGCAAGTTAACATTCCATCTCTCAGATGTGACAGCAAATATTGTGACAGCATTCGCATGCCAGCGTCCTTGTCGTTGCACTTATTTCTTCGTTGGTTGTTTTGCGGTAGAAATTCTCCGGTTCCTTCCTGACGTGCGTCGAGCGTAGCAACAAGAGTGCATCCTGCCTGCTCCGCCTGATCTTGGACAACTTCCCGTCGTACAGGGACGAAACCACGTACGTGGGACGCAGAGGTAGTGTGAGAGGCATCACCATGTAGTGGTCGATGTAGCAAGCATCGAGTATGTAACGACAGTGTCATCTATTAGGATAGCGTGCCGCGTTGTGAAATTGTAGATGTCACCAATAGTTATGCAGCTCAGTGAGCTGTCCATGAAATGTTTACACACTGGTGACATATTTACACATCTTCAACAAAGGCGTGTGTGTGAATGGTGACGATAGAGTTTCCTTGTTGAATCTAGCATTGGTATTGGCCTCGGTTTCTGACAAATTCCTGCATGCCTGGCCCCGTCAATGCCCAAGAATATTTCCGAATTTACGTTGTTACCTTCGTGTAAAACGTGCAACCATAGATAATGGTTCGTCAGTGATATAATTGTTCTATCATTGTTCCATCAGTGTTCTCCCACTTTTCTATCATTGTACGATTATTGTTCCATCATTGTTCTATAATTGTACTATCATTGTTCCATTATTGTTCCATTATTGTTTCAGTGGCACTATGGAAGCGAGCTCAGATCCTGGTAGCAGACATCTGGTTGTGTTGTGAGGGCAAAGGTCACGGCGAATTCCACGACATAGACACCCTCACTATGTTTGCCGATTACAGGTTCATGTTATCTTACAGACAGAGCAACTAAAACCCAATTGCAGGGCCAAACATATTATATAGGTCCTATAATTATATAAGGCCTATAATATATAGGTCCTATAATTATATAAGCCTTATATTGTATAAGTCCTATAATATATTATATAGCCCCTATATTTTAAGTTGCTGTATATCGGAGTGATCAGAATTTGTGAGATGGATGCATCGATGTTGGAACATTTCCCACCTGGGTTTCATCTGTAATTAATTAATCGCTAATACGGATGCTCGTTTGTTATTTGTAGAATACCGCAGGCGCTGGTTTACTTCGGCGTTCTGGAGTATTCGCAGGAACTCCTGGATCTGCTGCTTAAAGGTGCAGAAATGTTTTCAATGTTTTCAGTGTTCTTACGTGTGATCAAGGGCAGCAGATGTTAACCTTGCAAATTAACATCAGAGGTTTGCGTGAACCGACAATGCTTCAACGATCAAACCTTCACATGCTCTTAAAGATTAGCCAAGATTGCTGAATGTAAAACTAGACTGCGTCAGATCTGCAGCATACATAATGCAGAATTATCATACGATTATTGAATAATATATCATCTGGATGCAGGTTGACGTAATCTGTTAAATTGTGATGTTATATTGTTTCCAGGTCACTTGTTCCAGAGTGGTGATAGGAAGGAGGTCGAGATCAGGGGCGCTAGCATCTGGGCGGTGGAGGTACGCGAATATCTGTCGCGAATACATTCTTGCAATCTGTCAAGTTATCATCTAGTCACTAAGCCTTCTGATGGTAAAATGTAATTTCCCTTGATTCAGTTGATGGTGAACGAGTAGCTGTGTTGTGAAACTGTGAATTTCTCTCTGATTTCACGCGTAAAACTTCTAACGTGACGATATCTTCTCGCTTAGTTGGTCCTCTCAAAACTGCGCGCGCTCCTGCAGACAGAGGGCGCCGCCGGAGTGCACGTGAACGCCGTGATGGTTGACTTCTACCTCTGGGATCTCATCAAAGCCAAGACGGCTGAAGGCAGCTCCCAGCTTCCCTTCCATCACATCAGATGCATTTACTACTGAGATTCAGTGAGCGATCTATCGTGAACAACCTGCTAGAACGACGGGGAATGTTCCTAGAACGACGGGGAATGTTCCTAGAACCCCGAGTGCACGGACGACCCTATCCCTAACCGGAAGGTTGGGGAGGGAATACTGGACAGTGTTACCTAACGAACAATCAACTAGCTGTGATTACTAAAACCATTCTAATTATGATGATCTTCATGCAAAGCTGCTATGATATCAATAAATATGTATCATATGATTAGTAAGAATCTGTTGTCTACCTATCGAAGGTAACACAGTGTGACGATATCTACTCAATGGATGTTTTTTTAAACATTACTTATGTTGACAGGGTGCATGCATGACGAATGTGATTGTAAAACAATGCAAAATAAATAACCGTTATCAATGGTAAATAAGACAGAAGCATTTATTTGGCATTTTTGTATTCTGCATATATAGGATGTCTACACACACACACACACACACACATTCGTGTACATGCTCGAGCGTTGCCATCCCACAAAAGTATGACATTTTTGTATTCTGCATATATAGGATGTCTACACACAC